GCTAGCAGACAGTTAGCCCAGCCTAGCATAAAAACTGGGAACAAGGTGGAGAGCTATGCTAACTCTGCCCAGGTTTTAAAATATATCTACCTACCAATACCTAAACTCTCTATTTAATCTGAACACAAACAGATTTGTTGTGGTTTCACAGGAAGTTAAATGCAGCTACTATTTCTTCACTTAAAAACAGTTGTAATCGATAAAATGTGTAAAATGAGGACGTGAAAACTGTGTCACAGTGTGAAAGGAGTTGCTCGTAGTAATGAACCAACACAAAATTGTCCTGAACCATATGTCACTGCCCTCAGTTGCCAGTATTTTCAGGTTTAAATCATGTTAAGAGTTAGCATCATGTGTTTGCTGATGTATTTTTTTAACTTTACACAGGGCCAGGCTAGCTGCTTCTGGGTATGCTAAGTTAAGCTGACTGTCTCATTGCCTAGGCAGGAAGTGAATATACAGAAGTGGTATCCATCTTTTTGTCTAGCTCATGGGAAGAAAGTAAATTAGTGTATTAGTGAATTAACTATTTTCCAAAACTGTTCCTTAAAACCTTTTGAGGTTTCTTTTGACAATTTTGAGGATTCGGCTTCAGCTGCTAAATGCTACATCATGATCACTTTAACTGAAAACAGCTGGAACTGATAGCCTACAATGTGAGTGGTGAGAGTGAAGTAAAACTGCAAAGTTGAGAGCTGGAAAACCAAAACAATGAACTGACAATCTTCATAAAGTTGCGTAGAAATGAGGGGAACTGCAGTTGGGTGATAACAGTATGGAGTCATCACTAGGAATGGTTCCTTTCACATATAGTCATGTGATTACCAACAGGAGTTGGTAAAGTTCAGCCAACAGCTCAGATGTCTAATGCTACAACTCCTTTTCCTGCAATAACTCTGAGCTCACAGAATATTTCTGAAAAAAATACAATTTTAAACAAATCCCTTATGACGGATTGTCAAACATATTCACACCCAGATATATTAAATCAGAAGTTTTAGTACTTGAAGGATAGAAGCCACAAAAAGAGACACTGGAGACTCGTTTTAGTTTTGAGGAAGAAAAGCAGAATGAGGAGGTGTGAACGGGTGTAGACGAGGCGTGGAAGATAAAAACTAAAAGCAGACAAAGAAAGATGAGACACACGTAGAGGGACTGGAAACGTGAGGAAGAAAAACTTTAAGCTCCTGCCTTGGCATGTAGTGTTTGCTGGAAAAAAGAAAAAGTAAAACACCGGTTTCAAATCTTTTGTATAATCACCCCTTTCTTTCTTTGTTTGGATGGATGACAAGGACAAAGAGTAAGAGAAAGACAAAACAAGAGAGGGGTCATCCATTGTCTCACTTCAGTCCAATAAAAATTTTGAAATCACTGTGAAGAGACAAAGTATTTCCAGAGAAAAACAAGATCACGATTCACATGGAATGACTGGAATTTCAGCCCCCCCAGTAAATCTTCAAAAACTGCAAGGCCATTGGAAAACCGAAATATTTAAACAGAAATAAACAGTCTTCTAAGTTAGCTGGTATAAGTACATGCATAGACAACCTACAGCTTTGCACCTGAATGTAACATAAAACTCATTTATTATGTTTGTGGAGGAGGCAGAGCACAGATTCCAGGAAACCACACAACAACATCAACAACACATGGATCTACTTAGATTTTTCCAGGTTTAATTGTCCAGTTGTGGAGACATTGCCTCTATTATACTGTACACTAAGGCTGTGTGCATGTGTATGTGTGTGTGTGTGTGTGTGTGTGTGTGTGTGTGTTAGATTAAAAGACATATTATTCTCTTTTCTCTTCATACATTCAGTTGCTCACAGTAGTTCTGGTCAGTGAGGCTGTGAGTCATACAGTGAGAGTTGGATGCCAGACAGATGGAAGTAGTTAGTTTTTTTTTTTTTTTTTTTAATTGAGTCCAATCTGTCTACAGTTCTGCTGCCATACCAGATGCCCCAGTCTGCAGCCTGTGATTACAAACTTTCTACAGCTCACAACTTCACTCTGAACTGAGTCTATCTGACTTGCCTGAGATTTGATTGTTGCCTCTTTCTGTTTTGATATTTCTTCTTGGACCATGTCCCGCTCTTAGTTACTCACTCCCTTGACCATATGAGAACACACACACACACACACACACACACACACACACACACACACACACACACACACACACACAATTTAAAACCAGGCAGGCTTTCTTTACAGATCACCATCTCAATATTTGTATCCCTTAATAGCAGATGCTTCCACTCCACGTTAATTTATGTGGAAGATAACGTGTATGTGTGTGTGTGTGTGTGTGTGTGTGTGTGTGTGTGCGTGTGTGTGTGTGTGTGTGTGTGTTTGTTTTCAAGCATCACAGAGATGATGCAGATTAGCATCCATTAAGCGCTGCTGATGGCACTCAGAATGTCATCGGGCGCTAAGGTCAATGATGACTCACACTTTGACATTACATGGGGCATGATGATTTGGCCTTCCTATAAATGTCTGTCATACTTTATCTCTCTCTCTTTCTCTCTGAATGATAAACAAAGCAACATCACCGTTTCCCCGTGGACTCATGACGGGAGCTAAAGGTCCATTATTCCCTATGGTTGTCTCTCCCAGAGCACTAAGGTCACTGGACCCTATAACCTGGCTGCTTCTCAGCTGCAGAGTGCTGGAAGATGGGGGCAAAGTGTGGGTAGATACTTCCAGTGTTACTAGAATAGAAAATATGAATGAAAGACAAGGGCAGGGAAAATTAAAAGAGGTGATATGAAAAATGGATTTGAAAGACGTATAAAGGGGAAATGAAAAACTAAGGGAAAGAAGAGATTTTCAACCCAGCAAATTCACATTACCCATACTGTATGTCCTGTTCTACAGTCTTTTCTTTAGGACATTTTTTCTGCACATAGTAAACCCTTTGGTGTCAGTGTGTTATTTTGTATCATGTGATCTTTGTTGTCCACATGGACGTGTGCCGAACCAAAGAACATTTTGAAGGTGACAAGTCTCTGTGTGTGGAGGACCTCTTCTTTTCTTTTGCATGCTTCCTTTTATCCTGTACGACATGCGCAACAAAGAAAACTAATTTGTCTGACTGAGGACACCTTTCGACTCAGGATGATCCAAAGAAAATTATCTAACCAAAGCTCTTTCAGGAGAATTTCAACAATCAACAGAAACACCAGTGGTAAAAATCATCTGCAACACACATTACAACAAGACTTTCCTAAGCAGCAGTGAAGCTTTGGATAGAGACACACTACGCACTTGTGAATACAGTCTCCATGATAATCCTGCATGCAGCCCCAGATGTTTAACTATGCCCTCTACTTTAACTTCAAAATGATCCAGTCAGAAACCACAGCTATATATAGACTGCTGAGCATATACAGTAGTCTTATAATCTGAATCTGAGCAGTTGCCAAGTCAAGAGGACATTTTTATACCCAACACACCCTCTACTGGCCTGTTCTGGAATCATGAATTATGTTTAATTTAAACCAGACTTGACACGGTTTGGCCTCTAGATGGTGATACAGTCATTGGTCCACTGGCTTGAACAGGGGCTCAGCTCATCCACAGTGTAAACATGAAGGCCTTACGAGAGGCGCATTGTATACACTGCACTTCAGATGTATCTTTAATTTTATCATAAATCTAAATGTAGCTTAATATTTTTAGCAAAAGTGAAAGATGTTTTGATGCAGTGAGAGCTCAGTGACACAGTTTTGTCTGTATAAGGACAAACAGCTGTGTCCTCTGCTTGCTCTGCTCAAGTAGTGTGGTGCTCTGCCATGACAATATGTCTTGGCAGGACCAGAAAACAGCACAAGCACTCAAAAACTGGGTCAGCGACACACGCACACACACACGCACATGCACGCACACGCACACGCACACACACACATACACACACACACACTCATTGTGGCTGAGACTCAGAAGAGCATGTTAAAGGAAGCCTGTGATACGATGGTAATTGGTTCACTGTGGTGGTCTCTCATTATTCTCTCAACACATTTTCCCCTTTTTTTCCCGATCCATGTCCCGTCAGCTTCTCTTTTTTTTTCTTCCTTTCTTCTGTTTCTGTCTTCCAGTGTCGCAGCCAATAGTAACATGGCACAGTGGATTTTTCAAACAAGCAGAAAGGATTGTCTGTCTGGGTTCAGTTTATGAGCTGTGCCCAGACGAGGTTGCTGCTTTTTCTTAAGGTAATGTCATCATGGGTGGGGACAACTTTCTGTACAAATAAAGGCTGGCACTGTCCTAAGACAACATCATGTCAGGCCACCAAGAACAGAGTTTGTTCAAGTCAACTGTGTGTAATTGAATTTTACTTAATTTTACTGCAGATGCTGCCAAGCTGAGTTTTGTCATTCGTTTGAGACTGCATCTGGATTATCTAAAGCACCAGCTCAGCAGCCTCTCGAGGATTCTCTGTCCTTAACTTCAAGGTTCAGAAAATGTTATGCATGAGGATTTCCATTACCAAAACAGGAGAGGATAAAAGTGACTTTTCCAGTAACAGGACTTTGCTCTGTGTGTGTGTGTGTGTGTGTGTGTGTGTGTGTGTGTGTGTGTGTGTGTGTGTGTGTGTGTGTGTGTGTGTGTGCGTGTGTGCGTGTGTGCGTGTGTGTGTGTGTGTGTGTACTAGGTGTCAGCTTAGGTTTGTTTAAATGAAGAGAATGTCTTTCCAAGGCGGAGAGGAGGGAGGTGGGATGAGAAGACATAAACAAAAGAAGGCGAAACGACCTTCTGTTCAGAGCAGCTGCTGAACGCACTGAACAGACATATACACACAGGACAGATCCTTCTTTGGAGGCTTTTATTCTGAAACTCTATGAGCCTCCTTCACCACAGTACAATACATTTTCCTCTACGGTACTTTGAGAAATGTAGGAAACTACTGTCTGTGATAACACACACCCAAAACTTTTCATTAAAGAAAATCAATCAAACAAAACATGCATCAGACGGGGACGGGCTGGCAGGAAATGCTCTATTTTCTCGTTTAATTAGAAATCAGAAAATATTTCACATCAGGTCATATTACTATGTATAGCTTATTCATAATTCCTTGCAGAACATTCCCCACGGTCAGATGAAATCTTATTGCCACCGTACTGTGTTGCCCAACATTTGTTCACATTTAGAACAATCCAACTGTCTCATTGTTCAGTGTACTGTAACCTGTGGGTGGATGTTGAACAGTAAGTCGTCATTGCCTCGGCGAATCTCCAGCAGGAGAGGCCGCTCGCCCTGCAGCGCCTCACGAATGTCCTCAGTGGTCTCAACTGGCTGTCCGTTAAGCTTCACTATAACATCACTTTCCAAAATCCCCCCTCTAAAACACAGAGAAGGGAAACAGTGGTCAGTGATTTGGTTCAGGGGGGTCTGAAGTGCAATATCCTTAAATAATTAATCACATTATGGATATGGACGTTACAGCAGATGAAGGAACATCAAACTTTGGCTGGTGAATGCGAGGAATCTTCGTCTGGTTCCAAGGTTTCGTCATCGCTGCACGATGTGTGTGCGTGTGTGTGTGTACTTGGGTTTTTGCACGTGTGTGTGAACGTACTTCTCTGCTGCAGAGTTGGGTATAACCTTTTGCACCAACACTCCGCTGCTGACATCAGGGAAGTCTGGGTTATGACGTTTTAACTCTGCTATAAGACTGAAAAACACAAAAATGTTGATGTTAATGATAAAAACAGATAATACTAAAATTGATACTGATAAATACCATTTACTTCTTTTCAGATGTTACAAAAACTACATGCACTCAAAAAGTTCGTCATCATTTACCGAAATGCTAAACTACATATGTGCTGAAATAAAATAAAATAGTGAGCTGATGTGTGAGAGTTTGTTGTTTTAAACTCACTGGTCAGTGATTGTGAGCATCCTGATGCCTAAAAAACGTCTCTTCACTTCTGAAAACAGCACAAAAGCACAACCTCAATCTTCAATGAAGCAGCACCTCAGACATGTAAAGAGTCACAGGACGTCCATTCTGACCAAACACTTGCACCACCTGCAGCTCTCACCTGCATCAGACTGTGGCTCCTCTGTAAGTCTTCTCTGCTGTCTGCTCTTTTCTGTCACAACAACAACAACAAAAACAACAACAACAACAACTGGAGTGAGGTTTACTCAGAACTTCACAGGAGGTATTTCTAGTGCGGTGTGAGGATCTCACACGGTAAAACTCAGATTCTATCTGTTTTCATCTCTGTGCCGTTCGAGCGTTGACCCCTGACCTTTGCTGTGTTTGGTTTGTGACTCTGTGAGGAAGCGGCTGATTCTGTCCGAGGGGATGGCGAAGGCGATGCCTGCTGTCACTTTCAGAGTGTTGATTCCGATCACCTCCCCATCCTGAAAAGAAAAATTAAATAAAACAATAATCGTTCAAGCTAAAAACCAAAGATATGGCAGAATTTGAAAAAAATAGCTAAATTCACTTCATATTTACAGATTTAAATATAATTTTAATCACTACAAATATCATTAAAACTAAAATAAATTGTGCATAATTTAACACATTGCATACAGTATTGCTGTATACACTGCAGTGTGCTGTGGTAAAAGTTATCCTGGACTGCAGTCTGAGTTTACATTTAGTTTTTACTGAACTGATTCATTTGAAGGGCTGAACACAGGCTCGTCTGAGCTGTGACTCAGCTGCTTGTATCAGGACACAGATCAGTATCACTTCTGCTTGCAGAGCTTTTCTTCTTTTTTTTTGGTTTTTGATTTCGAAGCAAATTACTATAAATAAACTGCATGTTTTTACTTTCATGAACAGCTTTGTTATTGCTATTCATTGTAGAGTAATGCAACAGTAGTAGTAATAAGAAGAGGATGTGTAGTAGCAGGAGTCATGCATGACATCATTTGCCAAAAATAAAGTATTTGAAACTTTTATTTTATCACCATCATATGAAAAGGGTGACAATATTCAGTCCAGCTTGTTTGTAGGGTTTTATAAACTTGGTGTCAGAAGCCCATGTTGAGTTTCTTAATATTTATTTTATTTTATTTTAGTTTATTTATTTAATAGGGTCGATGGAATTTAGGTTCAATACAAAGCATGTAACTGATGAGTTGTACGGTGAGTTTATAGCTTAAAATAGTCAGTGTCCATCATCATAAATCCACAATAAACTACAGACATGAACGTAATAATATGCAGATGGATTATCCCATGGGTTGTGGATATTTATAAGACTGATTTATTTAGATCTGTTTGTATCATTACATAAGACTATGTAATATATCACCATAATATCCGTGCAGTACATTTGTAGTTTCCTCTGTGCTCTTGGAAATAGATTTAAATGATGCTCCACATTCACTGGGTGAAGACAATGTGGAGGACCTTTAACAATTTTATTGAATCGTCCCTCACAGTCATGCAAGTACTACTCACCAAGTTAACGAGAGGTCCTCCAGAATTTCCGTACTTCACACAGATGAGAGAAATATGAGACAGAAACAGATCAGTCACAGCAATGATTCTGACTCATATGCAAACAATCAGACAACCTAACTACAACAAGAGCAATGTGACGAAATCTGCGTGTGCATCTGTCCGGAGCAAAAGAAATAATCAGGTCAAACACAGTGCGTGTGTGCATGAGTGTGTGTGAGCTCACGTTAATAATAGCATCAGTCTGGATGTAGTCCATGTCTGAGTCCTTGATGCCCAGCTCCTTGCCGTCTCTCTGAGCCGTGCTGACGATGCCGGTGGTGACGGTGTTCTGCAGAGCGAAGGGGCTGCCGATGGCAACCACAAACTCCCCTGGCCTCAGATCAGCTGAGCGGCCCAGAGACAGCACAGGAAGCCTCTTCTGCACCCACACACCGAAATACCAGCACACATGAGGAAACACGGACATGTACGCAGATTGATGTGTCAGGCGGAGAAGACGCACGAGAACAGAGAGAAAAAAAAAAAAAACACACGTTAGGAATTAGGAGAGACAGAGAGAAACGAGGAAGAATTTAAAGCTTACAAAACTGTCCAAGTATTTGAGATATGGGTGTGAGAATACACACATCAGCGCTGTGTCTGTGAGTCACAGAGCTGGTGTTTATGAAAGTATTCCCACTGGCCTTATGAATGTCTAGCAGAAAACTGTCAGTACTTGGCACAGAAACATGTAAGGATGTGCGCTCCTGAGCTACAGCACAGAAAGCTTTTTATACATGACAGCATTTATGGGTCAAGGAAGAAGAAACATTACATTTGTTCACATCAATTCAGCCTGGAAAAAGATTAAAGGGGTGAAATGAATGGCATATAAAAAAAACAAACAAAACATAAAGGAGCCTGTGTGTGTTCTCTCACCTGAGGATTGACCTTGATTGTGGCGATGTCTGCCTTCCTGTCTACATCTCTCACCACGGCCTCGTACGCGTCGCCATCGTGCAGCTGAACACGCAGCTGGGGCCTCCCAGTCACTGTGCCAGCCGTGGTTACCACGTGAGCGTTGGTCACGATTACACCTGAGTGGGTCACAATGAAACCGGAGCCACTGGAGAGACGCATGTGGCGACCAAACAGAGGATGTCTGGAGAGGAAAAGAAGACAGACGCTGTTGCTCTCAGTCATTTCACTGTCTGGTTAGCAAAGAGCTTCCAATGTGAAGATTTCTACACCCTGGAGTCATGCCGGGAGAGAGAGTTTCCACCCATAACTTACTGTGCACTTGAGTTCACAACAGAATAAATCATAAGAATAAAGAATTCAAATCCACGGGTTTCTTTTCTTTTTCCCACTCTTCATACTGGTGTGTCTTTTACACAGCAACCACTCCTACAGTGGAACATCAGTGGCAGATAAGGATAAAAGAAACAGCTCTCTCTACAGAAACACCCACTCACATACACACACACACCTTACGAACAGCTCAATGTGGACGACAGCAGGGGCTATTTTCTCCACGACGTCAGCGATGAAGTTGAACTTGTAGCGAGGGCTGCCGGGGTGCACCATGGAAACACCTGTACTGACATGAAGAACCCACTGCGTTAATACAGACACAGACACACACAGACAGACAGACACACAGACAGACACACACACAGACACACACGCACACACGCACACACACGGAGGAGTGGAGTGCTACTTTGAGGTTTGTATAGAAATGTAAAATAGTTTGGAAAAAGGATTTAACATCCCGTATCTATCTATCTATCTATCTATCTATCTATCTATGAGGATTAGTGACACCCTGAAGAAGGCAAATAACAGATGATGATAATTTTTTATAGTTATATTTTATGTATAGTCCTACTGTATATTCAGAATTAGCCACAGCTGTTGAATTTGTCTGTTTTAAATACTGTAAAATTCAGTATTAGGCTAATTCAACACAAAGTGTGTTGAAATAGTCATTCCAGATATAAAATAAAATCAAACTGAGGTGTAGACGGTGTAGAATGATAGTTTACAATAATTACAGTAAAACTACAATTGCAACAACTTTTGCTCTGGTGGTGATTTGAACAGATAAACTAAAAGTGTTTATGCGCAAAATAAACCAAAGCCTGCACCATAAACATCTGTGATGACGCTTTTTGAATTTACATGGTCATACATGTCAACCCAAACTTTATCCTTCACTAAAGACATCTAGAAAAGGCTCATCTCTTCCACCCACCACTGTTGCCCGCTGCCCAGCCAAAGCAGCAGCCCTACCTGCGTCTGAAGGCGAACAGGCTCCTTTGTGCGCTTGGCTGACCTCTGGTCTTCCCTTCTGTTGAGCCCTGCGACTGGCTGCCCTCATTTCACACACATTACCGTACGTTTTCCCGTCGCTTCCGCACACTTCGTGCTCCATCTTACACCGGCAGACCCCCCTGGAGCCTCGACGCTTCCCCGCATCGAGCAGCTTGCACTCCAGGCCATCCCCGCAGGGCAGGTCGTTTTTGCGGCCGCAGGGATCTCCTTCGCGCGGCGAGCACACCAGGCAGCAGTTACAGCGGTCCGGGAGGTACCCGCCGGGACAGCTGGGGCTCGGACACAAGCTCACGTCGCACCGGGGGGCGCACTTGTCGGTGCGCACGGCTGCTGTGGGGTCGTGCGTAAAGAGAAACGCCGCTGCAAGTAGAAGTAGCTGCATGGTGGGAAACTCGTGTAAAGCAGATTTATCCTTATATCGTCATATTAAATGTTTTCTCTCCGAACATCCAACTGCAGGGTTTCTTTGTGTTATAACCTGAAACTAAAAAATAACAGCAACCAGCCTGCACTCTGTCCTGGCTACTTCACACCTCAGATCTGTGATGCTGTTTGGAAAGTAATTAGATCTAAATGAAACTCCTTTTCTGAGCTCAGTGTAGATTGATCTCCGGACATTGCCGAGTCATCAGTGCCTGCACACTCTCACAGCCCTGTGACTGGACATCACTTAGTTTTCAGAACCCCAGATTCTTGAAGAGACTCACGAATCTGCTGTGATGATGCGCGCCACCTAGTGGAGACAAAACCACATAACAACACAATGTAAAGAGCAGCCTGTCAGTGCGCAGTGTGATCCTCTGTGTCAGGCTCATGTTATTGTACTGGCTTGGTCAATGTGGACAATAAGGACTAATGACGTCATTTTTCAGCGCAAAACAAGACCTATGTCTCGAAATATATTAGTAACACTGCTGTGAAATATTTTATGAACACTTTTCTTGAAATACATCGCCAGGTCTTAAAGAACTTTTCATTCATTTATCTTCATTACATTCATACATGTGTATTTCTGACATTATTTCTCTTTTACAATAACCTGGCATATGCATCAATACAAAGATAAAATAGTTTTTTTGCCTTTTTCATGAAGAAAAATTGCAAAGTATATGGACTTATTATATATTTTTTTCTTTCTTTGTGAAGCACCTTATGGAGCTGGATAACTCAGTTGTGAAGTCACAAACTCACTCATTCACATGTAGCAGGCTGCAGGTTATTTTTAACAGAGTGCCATTTTTTCCCCCAACTGCATATTTCACAGTGTAAACTAAGCAGGAGAAGCTCCTGTGTAAATAATAAAATGAACGATGGCTGAGTTCCATTTAGCTGCTTCAGCTCCAGGGTCCTGGTGGTCCTCACTGTCACACTGTCATGACTTGCTGGGAAACTTGAATAGAGCAGAGACATTGTTTATGTTGTTAGTAATACCTCTACTTTTCTACGATGACAAGTCAAAATGGCAGCTGTGGAAAAGGCCTATTGTTCACCTCCTGCTTGTGGCTGTAAAGGGAGAATGTGAGCTGAATGACCAGCGCTCTCAGAGGAGGGGAACAGGTCAGAGATCTCAGTCCAGGAGAAACCTGGAGCCAAAGGCTGTTTCTTCAATCAGTTTTACTGGGCACAAGTAATAGCCCTGTCTTCCTCTTACTCTTTACTACAGTGGCCCTGAGAGCTCAACGCATTGCAACTAAAAAAAAAACACATGCAAATAGACAAACCACAAGCCAGTTCAGAAAACAGCTTCATCACTTTGACAACACATGCACACAACACAAACAAATGCTACCAAGTAGCACAGATGACATCTCAAGTGTTTCCAGGGGACACTACAAAGTGACAAACCTGGCTGGGACGCCCCCGTTGTTCAGTGCTTTGTGACTTTTGAAGTTAAAAGCATTGGACAATAAGTGTGCATGGGAGTGTTATAATACATGTATTAATCTACAGCCATGCAAGTGCGTCCCAGCCGGGTTCATTCATACACTTCCAAGAATTCAACGGAAACTCCAGTGAATAAAATGCCTTGATTTGCAGGTTTAAAATGTAAAACGTAAAACACTCAGTATTCTATTATCAAACAAACAGCTCTATTAATGCATCTAATCTCAAGAAAATATATGAAAAGCTATATCTAAACAACAAACAAAATTCAAAACACACAGCACCTATGAAGCTGTCATTGCCACTGTGTGATTTTTAATGTTTGAGTCATAATCATGTACATAATTCAAGACTGAGTTATGGATGTTTCAAAAATAATTATAATTTAAACTACAGACGTGTTTTATCTGAGTTTTTACAATTATTGATGTAACAGCATCAGAATAAACACTAACCTCTGTCAGGTTGTTGTACAGTTGTACAGTTGACACAGACTGACACAGTTCTCCACACGGGGGCGGTGTTAGGTAAGGCCTGTGTCAGCCTTCTGCTCAGTGCTGACACACACACACACTGCTGACATTGCAACATGTCTTTTTATATTTTATTTCCTCTCCAGAGGTGTGCTTCCTCTTAGTGAATGTGTATATGTGTGTGTGGTTGATGCCTTAACATAAACGGATAAGTGTGTGTGGTGACACTTTTCAGCTGTATCTCACCTCACCTTCCACTCTCACAGTTGTGAAGGAACACACTGTAGAGGAAGTATGTGGGTGTGTGTTTGTGCATGTGTTTCACTTGCACGTGCATGTGGAGATATGTATATGAGGGCCGGTAAATAACAGGTTTCCACATACCAACATCTGCTCTGCATCATCAGTGGAACCTGCAGGATGAGCTGAGTACGTGGAAGAGGCACAACTGTGTGGAAATGAAACTGTGTTTTAAAAGGTCATTGTTTATCACGGTGATTCTATGATATACAGTGACCTTAAGCTGAAGCACCTCTGTGCCTTCAAGATGTGACTAGTGCTGAAATAATGTCAAAAATCGACAGCACTTTTGATTATCAATTAACCACTGAGTCGCTGGTTCCAGTGTCTCAAATTATGGGATTTCAAATCTTAATCTGTTTTGCAGATTTGACTGAATATCTGTATTGAAATCAGGCTTAGGGAAATTGCGATTGCCATTAATCAGCATTTTCTTCTATATTCTATTTCCTTTTTAGATTAATTGATGATTCAAAAATATAAACCATATATCAATATTGGACGGTTGAGTTCAAGATCCAACAGGAAGACAGACAGTACTCGTCTCTTTCTCATAATCACGTCACGTGAAGTGAGTTTTCTCTTTTTCTCAGTCTGATGGCTAATCTACTGCCTATTCAAATGTCAAACAAATTAGCGCCATACATAATGTACCTAGTTTGTTTTTTCAAACACACATTTTCATTTTTAAATTCCTGTATAACACAGCGGGCACAGCCTGGATAATCTGCATTTGACTCCAACAGTTATTAATAGCTGACTTTGGCTTGAGGCATTACTGTTACTGTCATCCGTTAAACATTAAGTCTAATGGCTCTGTCACAGGTGCATGGAAACCACCCGAGTCATCTTAGCTCTGCTGAAAAACACCTTTGTCAATACTGTTTGACAACTGTAATCGTACACTGTTGTGATACCTGTTGTTTCCCTCAGCAGTGTGGTACCTCTTCATGTGCTTCATCCCTCAAACCATCAGTGGTGATTTTTCTTTGAACTGTAACACTGATCCAAACAAAGTTTCAAATTTCCAAAATTTTATTTTTCATCTGTTAAATATACAACTTTTCTCATACAATCATTGAGTTGGAATAAAAATTTCAAGATGCATACATAAGAAAACACAACGGCGTCAAGCAAGTGTGAGATATTGTCCTCGGTTTTTGTTTTTCCTCTTCACATAATGTATAATAAAGGGGCGGGACGAGACCTCATCCCCCATGCCACGAGGTTCGAGAGAAATCTGCTCGCCAGCGATTAAATACATGTCAAACAACAAATACATTCATTGTTACGAGAAAAGTCTATTTTTTGACAGCATTCACTCGAACTGAAATGTTTAGGAGCAAGAATCTTGTGTAGAAATAGTAAACTGATTACATTCAAGCAATGTGTTTATTCCTAGTCCTCCCCATCCTCCAAACTTTATTTTCAAGTTTCAACGGTATTCTCTTATTGAGGCTTTTCAAAGTTCCTTCCACAGACAGATTTTGGCAGTACTCAGAGTTGAAGACACTAGGTTTGTTCAGCAGATGTGGATTTGAAAACTAACACTGTGTAAGAGCGGTTCGATCCAGATGTGTGGAACTAGTCAAACACTTCCCGCAGTGCAAGTGCACATCTATACTTCGATAAGTAATCCTACAAGGCAAAAGCAAATGTTTTTGGACTTAATATCCCAGACCAGGAGCAACGTCGTACTGGAGAAAAATTCACTTTCTGGAGAGATCTGTGGAAACCGGATTCCCAAACACTACTGGACCACAGATCTGTGAGCGTGCAGTTTGTAAGTGCTTGTTCTTTGGCCGTTAGCCCCACTAAGAGACCTTGCAAGAGACTTCAGTAGGTACTTTGGGTGGGTAAAAAGCGTCTTCCTCTTTCCCTTTCTAACAATAAACAAAGCCTACCTCTGTGGAAAAGGCGATTATCCAATCTAGTCACCATGGTAACCACAAAGATCCCCAAGGTCTCTAAGAGACACTGGTATGCCAATCTCTCCATTTCCAATGTTTCTCTGTGTTCTCTTCAAAAAACTGAGGAATGGGCCCAGGCCCAAGTCCTTCACTAAACATTCTTCATCTCACTTTCTATCATCATGTCTTTCCTTCTGTGCAAGGACTAATATGAGCAGTTTCCAGTGTGACAGTCTCATCCTCTCTCTCATTTCATCCTTCCTCGTTTCAGAACTGGCTTCAGGACAAAAACAGCTGTTGCAGATTCTCTCCTCAGCCCTACTCCTCATCCCTTTCTGATTACCAAGAGGAGAAAAATGGGCGCTTGCAGTGGAAGGTTTGTGTGAAGGCGTTACCCAGTGTGACCACGCGTCCCTGGCCGCCTGATCGGCTGCGCTCCACCACCACCCGGGGCATCTGCACTAGCTGGATGGGACTCTTCCCGTCTTTTAACGCCTGCGTCAGATTCAAAACCTGTAGACGAACAGGAGTCATGTTTAAAGTACAGAAACTGTGCAGTGTAAAGTATGACAGGTAACATAATGGTAAGATAATGGTGAGGTTAAGCACCTGATGAAATCTGAGACAACATGGACCATTCAAATGCAATCTAGTCTGTTGCCGGAGCAGTTTTTGGTTACATATTTACCTGTGTGTAATTTTTTTTTCAACAGGAGAATTTCAAAATAGAATAAAGACATCATCTGTGGCAAGAACATCAGATAATCTGGTGGTTATTTTCTTAGCTAAATGATTATTTGTTTTGTCCCAAAGAGTCAAAAAATTCCCCAAAAAACCTAAAGATATTTAATTTACTATCACATGAAACCAGAAAATGACCACCTATCCTTTTTATTTGAAAAACAAATTCTCAAAATATTTGCTAACAAGCCATAAGCTATTCACTTGTGGCCAAAAAACAGTGACTTGGACCAATCAGGGTCCCATGAGGAAGGAATCACTGGCAGCTGTGTGTCTTACGTGTGATGAAAGCGGTAAGGCGCCGTGCATTAACAGCAATGATGGCTCCTACAGAGGTCAGAGTAGATGCTGCTATAGCATCAGTTACATCAGAGCTGGGGAGTATTTCTTCATTGACAGAAGATGGAAAAAATGTTTTTGCTCTTCTCTCGACTGGTTTGGCAACACTTTGCTTTACCAACTGGCTCCGCCGGTAGTGACAAAAAAAATATAAAGGATGGAGCATCTGATTGGTTGAAGTTAGCCTGTGATAAACAGTGATAGACAGATGGTTCATCCAATCACCTGCCAAGTATCTATTGAAAGCACCTGTCCTTTTCCAAACAGTTTCCAACGAAGCCTTCCCAGATGGTTCTGAGTAACAAACCATCTGGCACCTCAGGTTAAATATTTTCTAATTGATTCACTAACTAATTGTTTCAGCTTAAACAGCAATACAAGAAAGTACCTCACAGCCTAAACAACTCAAATGGGTGGACAGGTCCCAGTATAATCTTATGCTATAACACCCTGGGAGCTCAATGAACATCCATACACATTATAGCAGAGACCAGAGCGGTAAAAGGAAAACAGGGGCAGAGGTGAGGAGCACAACAGAGAGACAGGAAAGGTGAGGCAGGACAGTAGACGGGGGGTGGAGGGTGAGGAAATTAAGTTAAGATGGGTGGTGATGAGGTTCCAAAGAAAACAATGGAAGAGACTGAAAGTGGGGCACAAGAGCGACAGGAGAGCAAGGTAGGATATTAAAGGAAAGAACAAAAAAAAGAGGACAGAAAGGATGACGGAGACAAACTGAACAGCACAGTCAAAAATAATCAGCTTAAAAAAAAGAACCCTCACCTGTCCCCTCATAACAGACATCTGTCTCTCAAACATGGTTTTGTCAAAGCCTTTATCCGTCTGAAAAGAAAGACAATAACTCGTGTTTGCGGGCGTCCTGTGTGTCATTAATTCAAACATGCACACTGTACTCTGCTGCTGGACAGCTGCTTGTTTCCACGATTACTTCATCAATTTCAATTTAAATCTCCATGAACAGTACTAAACAGTTGTAGAAGAGAGAAAGTGGACTGTACCTTGAACATCTCGTAGAGGTCCTCACAGAGGTCCTGGACAAAGTTCATGTCAGAGAGGCGGGATAGCACCAGGTCTCTGGTCTCCTGGGAGAAGGCCACCTTCGCCTGGGGGAGCCACGCCCAGTGGAATGGGTCTGATGGACGGAAGCAGCGTTAAAAGCACAGTTTGTCAATACACTGTATGACATTAAACAACCTCAGCCTGCCATTACAGCAGTACACAGCTGTCAGTAACTAAAGGAACAGTTCATCTTGGAACAATACGCTTATTTGCTTTCTTGTTGAGAGTTCAGATGAGAAGCCTGATACCACTCGCGTATGTATGGTAAATATGTTGCTTGAGCCAGCGTACAATTTAATTAGATAATAACAACTGAAACAAACACCCTGGCTTTAACTGCAGGTTACAAAATCTGTCTACAGGCACCTCTACAGCTCACTGATTGACACATTATATTTTGTTTGTATAATCCACGAAAACACAAAATGTTGTGGTGTTATGGAGAGTCTTTATGATAAGATAAACCTAAAATCTATCATATTTAGGGCTGACAGAGGCACAAGTGTATTTCCCAAAATGTCAAACTATTCCTTTAATTGATAATCATTTTCATGGCCTGAATGGTTATAGTTTAAAATCTAAAAAAAAAAAAAAAAAAAAAGAATCCTAAAACATTTGTTTGATGTAATTACAAAATATTCCTACTAATGATATTATCATTGCAATCTAAAGAAACAGTTTCATCATCATCATATTGTTCTCTGGCAACGTGTGATCTCATTTGCCAGCTTTTTGAAGATTTTATAGATTAAATGACAAAAAAAATGAATCAATCCAGGATGAAAATCAATACATGCTGTTCACGCATGAAGGCAGAGCACAAATGAAAAAGAAGTGAGTGAGAAAAGAGACCAACATACAGGCTCTCCATTCGTCCGGGTGTTTAAAGGGGAAGGCCAAGCCGTTGTCAATTGCTGCGATCTTGATGCAGGATTCTGGACAGTTCTCTGGCCACTCTGAGTCCTGCAGCGAGGCGGGGAGAAGATCAGAGGACACATCGCCATTAAATGACTGAATGATTAATGGCCAATGACCAATTACTGACCATTGTCCAAAGAGCTGATAGATATGACAGATAGATGACAACCTTTGCTCATTTATCAATATGTGGCAAGTAATGACTGATAGTCATTGTCAGATAGTGTCCTGGTTGTTTTATCCAGCAAGGTCAGTGGGGCACTGGTTTGTTCTAGACCCGCAATATTCAACCTATTGTCTGCTCATGCTGGCCCCTGTGTGTACTGTGTGTGAATGAGTGACAGAGCATAAAGTACACAGGGGTGTGTGTTTGCTTATGTGTGCGAGTGTCTCTACAGCAGGGGTCTCCACCCTTTTTTACTCTGAGAGCTACTTTGACAAAATAAAAGGGGCTGAGAGCTCCTCATGTCTTGTATAACTGCTTAAATCCAGAACAAATCAGATGAACAAAATAAGATAATCCAAAACTCACATTTGGTACCAAAAACATCTGAAACTCACATCAGACGTCGCATCAGTGTCAATTTTTTTGTGAAAAATCTGAGTCATGATTCAGTCAAACCTGAACACTCAGACATGATAACACTACTGCAAATAAATCTGCTGAGAAACAAGAGAAAAGAAGGAGCTCCTTAGCCAGTAATCCAGTGATAGCTGTCAGTACATCCAATGGCACATAACAAGCAGGAACTTAAAATAGCTTATTTGGTACACTGAACAAACACTAAACATATCAACTCACTCAATCCATGGCAACATATTTCCTGTTTCTTGGAAAGTCTAGTTTATATCTATTCTGTTAACAGAGGAGTCGCTATCACTGCACGTCGCCTGCGGCATATCTGATGTAAACAAACTTGACAGCGTAACATTAACCTGACAACTGACAAACAATTGTTTGGTGATGAAGAAGGGGGAGTGTGTCTGTGTATTTGATTTAGTTGCATTTGGAGTAGATTTACTGAGTGAAGTTGTGTTGCTTTAAGTTTATACTATGCACCTATGGTTCGTACAGACTATATTCTCAGAACCTTTGGGTGAGCTACTCTAAAACAGAGGGTGAGCTTCTGGTAGCTCGTGAGCCACCTGTTGGAGACCCCAGGTCTATAGGATACAAAGAGAAACACCAAAATCATTCACCTTACAGAGCTCAAATATTATGAGCTGTGACCTATGACGAAAATGTTTCAACACCGCAGCATTTCAAGCGTGTCTGGATTTAACCTCACCTTTTGTCCATCTCCTTCTCCTCCTCCTTCTCCTGGCTTCTCATACTTGATCAACCAGTTGTCGTTCCCTCGATCTGAGGAGGAAGACAAAGATAAAATGGAAATAAAAAAAGTGCAGGGTAAGTTTTCATACGCAGATATGAAGCTGAGCAGAGAGAGCACGATCTTCGCCCAATTATTGGTCATAATGACAAGCGCAAATACAATGTGACACACACTTACACACATTAACAAACTTGCTAATAGCCTGACAGTATCAACAAAATGCAAAGACAACATGATGTGCCAAAGAAAGCCGGTGACACTGTCAATAAATTAAGTCAACACAAGTAAAAAAAAAACTGTCAACACTGTATGGAAACAGTTTGACTGATGGGCTGTTACGCAGTGCAATGTTGTGTTTAAGTTCAGCAAACACTGTGTTCAACTGTCAACACAGACACACCCTCACCTGTGTTTCTGATAACGTAGTCTAACACCACCAGCCGCTCAAACTGTGACTGCAGCTGCTTCCTGATGTTCTCTGGCAGCGGCTCTGCCTCAAAGCGCCGCAGCCAGTAGTCCGCTTCACGGTAACCCTCCACAAACAGCTGAAACGAGCCCACCTGGGAAAAACACACACAATCACATTTACATAGGGTTCAGTGATCTAGGCTGTTTGTTTATATGGTAATACTGTGGTGTCGTGTGGTGTCGTCACATGTGAAATTGTGACATAAATGTTCCAAAATGTCAGCGGTGCATGACATTTGAAACATGAAGCCAACTTTCTCATAGCTACCTTCAAACAACATCGAACATCCACAAAGGTATCACCCTGAAGACGGCCTCAGACGGAAAACAGGCAGTTTTACAATGCACTGTCATACAGGGTTTAGATTATATACTAAAATTGGCACTGGAGGTGAGAACAGTACTCTATACATGAGATAAGGATATCCAGTCACTGTTTGAAAGATCTGAAAGCAGAGATAACATGTATGCTTGCTCTGACCTACTTATTTGAATAAACCTGTCTTTTCAGGAAACACAAAAACAGACTGCCACGATCCCTCTGCCCTCAAGTGTTGAGACAACACTGACACACTGAGACAACTCCTTCACTTTATACTGTTGAGACAGCACACCATGTATATGTAAAACACAACATTTTGACATGAAAGATACTACTTAAATAAAAAAGATGTACATTTTATAATTATTAGTAATGTCAAAATGCAGAGGTGAGTTTCCAGCCTACGCTGATACTACACTACTAAAGGGAAGCACCAGTCTCTGTTACCTTGGGTGGCAGTCCCACTCTGTGGAAGCGTCGTCCCACCTTGGGGACTTTCTCCAGTGCATACTTCTTCCCCCTGGATTTTGCTCTGTCGATGGCGCTGTAATGGAATGTCTCACTGGCCAGATACACCACCTGATGAAAAGGAAGTTAACGCTGGTTTAGTTGAATAAGCCGAGTCATTTCTTCCACAGCTAGAAATATGTGAAAGAGAAAATGAATCCAATGACATCTGCAGCCAGGTTCATTCAGGCGTTCATTTACATAAGCGCACAAATGGAATCTCAGTGTACACGGTAACTTTAAAAACGTTAAAATGCAATAACAGGCATGCTCTCTGAGCCCCACCTTGGTTTTTGGCACCACTCCCAGGCCGAGCTTCGTATCAACCAATGAGGCAGCAGCCTCTGAGAGGTAGCCCTGGTTAGGCAACAAGCAGCCTCGGCCAAAACAACACGGACAGCACAGCTAATGAGAGAGGGAAAGAGAAAGAACAAGCACAAAACCTTCAGAAAGCTGTTTTAAAAACCTGGTTCAACACTGATTCTGTATTCAAGTTGTTTACCTTGTGAAAATATTTGGTCCATTTGGGGTTCAGGTGACCGTACGGTTCCTCTGACTTTGGTTTGAAAACACCAATGATTTTCTGTAGCAGGAAAAGACAATGATGAATGAAAAAATATTTTTAAAAAATGCAATTTGTTAAGCATTTGGCACATGACTGACCATGGACAAAAACAGCACAGTCATGTACATATGTTTACTCTACAGAAATTCTTCTACATTTCTCTAAGAACACAAGGAAAAAACCACAGGCAAGAAATGTAAAGTTATAATCAACAGATGTGAAGGGACAGAGATGCTGCTAACAAGTTAGAGATCAATATCCCTTCCCTGTGGTGTACATTAAACTTGTTAATGTGATGCTAATCGTGCATGCTGGCTATCTGTTATCAATGCGAGCATCACTGGTTGCATTATTCAGCGGCTCTCTGCTGTAGATTCTTCTTCCTGTGCATTTCTCAACTCCTCATTTCCTCTTCACTACTTTCAGCTGTTTCACTCTACTCTACACTGCATTCAGTCACTTCTCTCAACTTTGGTTATGTTGCAGCCTTATGCGAAAATCCTGCCAAAAAAATCATCAATCTACACTCAACACCCCCATAATGACAAAGCAAAAGCAATTTCAGAATGTTTTGCTAATTTATTAAAAGGAAAAACTGAAATATCACATTGACATAAATATTCAGACATTTTGCTTTGGTACCTGAAATTAAGCTCAGGTTCCTCCTTTTTCTCTTGATCATCTTTGAGGTATTTCTACACCTTGATTGATTGGATCACCTGGGGTAAATTCAGCTGATTGGACATGATTTGGAAAAACACACCTGTCAATATGAGGTCTCACAGCTGACAATGCAGACCAGAGCAAAAACCACCCATGAGCTCACAGACGGTGTAAAGACACGGATCTGGGGACGGCTAGAAAAACCGTATCCGCTGCATTGAAGGTTTCCCAAGAACACAGTGGCCTCGCTAATTCTTTAGTAGAAGAAGTCGGCTGCAACATAACAAAATGTGAAAAGGGGAACGGGTCTGACCGTTTCTGAATGCACTGTAGATAGATAAATAGGAGTGGTTATGCAGTAACCTCAGTGGAAAAAAACCTTTTGAAATATTTTAACGACTATTCTTAGTCCGTGCTCTTTCCTTCACCCTCCCTATCATTTATCATTGCCGCTCCTCCATCCCCAGCTCACCCCTTTTGGGTCTTTGACAAAATAGCTCCCACTGGATCCCTGTGAAATCCTCTCTGGAAAGACGCCATTCTCGATGGCTTGCTCCGCCCTTTGGATAATATCTGCAAACTCAGGATCTTCAGGGAAATGGTTGAAGTCCCCACTGTTGGTACCTAGAATGGGAATAAGTGGATAATATTAAAAATTCAAATTTACATTGTGGGCAATAAGACTGTGCTTCAGGAAATAGCGATGGCTTTTCTCAAGGAAGAGAGCAACAATAGTGCACCATCACCGTTCCACAATATGGTGTTAAATTAATGTCATGCAGTTTAAGTATGTTGGTAAAAAATTTTGGTGATCCTTAAAGCGTTATAAGGAAAGACCCTCAAAATCAGTTCACTACTGGAAACATGGCCGCCCTGCTGCCTGTTTCATAGCACATAATACTGAGCGCACTGCCATTAAAGACATAATGAAAAAAACCTATTAAAAAGTAAAAAGATGATATTGCTTGTAAAAAGTATTTTTGAAAATTCATGTGCAAAATTAACTGAAAATGAAAACAATTGAATCCAAATAATGTATATTTAAGCCTATCTATATCTTTCTATCTACTACTGAGTCTTTTCTTAGACATAGTTTGTGTGTGAGAGGCAACTGGATCCATCCATCCATCCATCCATCCATCCATCCATCCATCCATCCATCCATCCATCCATCCATCCATTTCATGGGAGGCTGGACCTGTTCCCAGCAAGTACTGGGCGAGAGGTGGGATTAAAAAGGTGGCTCGTCTATCACAGGGCTAACACACACAGAAACACAGGAACACACACATTTACAGGCAATTCCAAATCACCACTTCACCAAACCTGCACGTCTCTGGACTGTGGCATGAAGACACAGAGAGAACATGCAAACTCCACACAGAGAGGCCTCAGCTGGTCAGTGGATTTAAACCAAAGATCTTCCTGCTGTGAGGCAACAACACTCAATGAGTGACTGTGCCACTTGTCAGAAAAAAGCATTTTCTATTCCCTTGCAGATCTAATATACTTCTCTAGATGTGACTGCTCTCTGATGAGTATAGGGTGCTAATTATTCCTGTGAAGAAGGCCCGGTCATATGACATGACTCCATATGCTCTGTATCAGTCACACTAAAGTCACAGTGGGATGCAGGGAGAGATGAAGGGACAGACACTGGGAGGAGGGGACGGAGGGGAGGAAAGAATGGACAAAGGGACAGGAGGACAGTTATCTGGCCATTTGTCACAGCGAGATAAGGAGAAACAAAGATGGCTTTGAAGCTAATTTACTTGAAGAGGGCAGAGAGAGAAGCAAATTAAAAAGGAGGAAGGAGAGAATAGAGGGACAGAGATATGGAAATATTACATGGGGGTTGAGGATGATTTAAGTTCTAGATACTTGTCAGGGTTTTGTGAGTCATGTAGACCTGACTCCCTAGAGGAAAACTTACAGAGACAAATTCATGTTGAATATTTTACTTCACTGGGGGTCTCTGATATTGTTTTATTTTCCATCCTTTCAAAAACCTCAAAACATTAGCACTGACATCTTTCTAAAAGCCACAGGGACGGGCATGAGGTGCACCTAACAGGCACAACCATAATGATGTCTTAGGCCAGGCTGCACTTGTATTTTGTGCTGCATTTGTTCCTAGCCAAGCCAAAGTCATACTATACAATGATTTAAACCATGCATTCAGACTAGACTAATTGTAATTGCTCATGCACCACCCTGCCACAAGATGTGTGATGACGACAATAACTTTGTAGTATCTACTGAAGCTGACTGTGATTCAAAACCAGCTCCATCTTGACTTTTATATGGAAATAATCTGGAGATAGACTGTGATAAAGTCCTGCAGGCTGTCTTTGATTTACAGCTCGATTTTTTCTCTGTGTGTGGGGCAGATGTGACACAATATTTTATCTTCATTATTTAATTTCCAACAATAAATTCAGTTGTGTTTATTCAGCTGTCGTGCCTGATGAAGGATGTGCGCTTGCACTGGATTGTACTGTTGATGAAAGTCTATGATAATTCCACTGTGTAGTGTGACTGCAGGAGGCAGAGATGTCTCTCTCTCTCAGTTCCTCCCTTTTCATTATTCTCAACCTGCAGAAAGCCAGAGTGAAAGCAAATACACATGCATACTTTCTCTCTCCCAAATTCCCTCTTCATCAACATCATGCACTGTACTGGACTACAGAGCGTTTGTGTGTCTGTTTGAGCAGTGGCCTTATCCATATTTAATGTCTGTCTCGCAGAGCTCTTGGTCAGTTAATGGGCCCAGCAGAGCTCCCTCATTGGGAGGGGGTGGGGGGGCAGCTCACTCACATCTCTAGAGACCTGCTGACCTGCAGAGTACACAGTGTGTGAGATGTCACAGCACTGCGTTCTGAAAATGTGGGTTACTACCAAGTTTAAATTTAAGTCATTACAAGCTCATGTCCTTAAAACATCAGTGCTTTCATGTATTTAAAATGTATCAATCAAGATTAAAACGTATGTTGTGTAGCGTTACATCTGATAAAACACACACTGCTTGCTGCTTTCGGCAACTATGGACTCTGGTGAAATGGTGAAAACAGGCTGCAAGAACAGGTGAACAGTTGAATGCAGCTTAGTGTGTTGGACCCATGTAAATTTTACCACTGACCTATAAAACCTCAAGTAACGTTCAAGTCATGTTCTGGGAGATATGCCTGGTAAAATTTAACTGCCACAATCTGAAATGGAGAATAAAAGGCAACGCAGTACACTGGCTATCAGGACGATGTGTGACTGCTCATTTGTAATGCAAACTGTGTTGTAATACTAGATCTGAACACTATTATTCTAAAAGGTCACAGGAAATGGGACACTAACACCTGCGTTTTCAGGCTCTGTGGCTACCTGTGGCCTAGATTTTTGGCCCTGATAGAACATAGTTGAACAACAGAGAGACACAGACCAATAGAGGTGAAAACAGAAGGAAACAAATGCTCAAAAATGATGTTGCAGGGGAGAAAAAAAGGTGGGCGTTATGAGGGGGAGAGGTGCTAAATCCAATTAGCAGTTAAGTGAGAATGTATGTGCTGCTTCCATGGTGACTAGGTTACCTTTTCTTTGTTTTCTCCTATAATAACCTTTTCTTTTATAGTCCAACACAAATCCAGTGTTGTATGAGTGACAACAGATAAGCAACACAAACTATACATCGGCAAAACATTGATTATATTAGCCTCATTTCTGTAGCAATGTAGAGACTTTGGCTATACAGAGAGAGACATGTACCTAGAAGCATCAACACCTGCTGCACAGGTATTGACACTAATACAGGAAACTTAAAAAAATATGCAATTACCATAAGTATGACCAATGGGCGTCTAAGGTGAGGACATTTAAAAAGCAGTTACACAGTTCACTGTACTAGTGGCTAACCATGTAGTGTTGACGTCACCAGGTGAAAGTGCCAGCTCATATCATTCACATGAGTGATAACATGCAGCTATTACATCAGCTGACTCGAAAACACAGACAGGACACAGACTCCATCTCAATGCAAACACAAGCCAAATACCTAAAGTGTGACATGAATGTATGGATAGTTCTCATAACCTTCACGGTCTTTTTTAGAAAACTGGGACTTTTCAGCTTTACCAGGGCAACAAGTTATTGCTTTTTCTCTTAAAGTCAAAGTTTCCGTTCCCAATTTAGGTAAGGGACCCCTTAAGGGGTGTCAATGGGGGGCTCAGTGAAATGGTTAGTATTCAACAGAAGGTTTAGATAACAGCACAACATTTGGACCATGTTGCAGTCACTGTTACCTCTACACCAACCAGTAATCAGCCGGCGTTATTCTTCACTGAACCATATGCGACAAAACATTATGTTCCTCCGGACATATCCTCACTGGGTATGGGTTCCCTGACTTAACTGCCTATCGATCAGCCAGTACTTGAGATAATAAGATTTTGACGGCCTTGATCCAAAACAATTACCTGGGGAGGCCAAGGTGTCTTTATCCGACGATGAGCTATGTCTGTTCCGCCTGCTCCGCTTCTCTCGTACACCCCGCGGAGACGACGAACCTCCTGCTAAGCACGGTAACAACAGCGCCTCTTCCCCGGAGCCATCCGTCTCCAGCTCGGTCAAGACGCTTTCACAAGAGTCCGAAATACGAACAGCGGCTCCAGGGTTGGCCGCAAGCCCCAAACCTATCTGTTTCCTGTCAAATAATACATTTAGAGGGTCCGCGGAGTGAAAGTTAGACTCCAGCACAGACTCCGCTGTTGCTCCAGTAAGCGACACTGGCTCGCTGGTCTCTGTCCCTGTCGGGTCGCATTCTGACATCATTGTCGCTCAGTTTTTAATACATGCGATTACACTAATTTACACCGAGTTCCCTTGAAGTTGTCAGCCTTCCATTGTAAAGAAGCCTGAGTACATAAATCACGAATGAATTATTCGAAAGCAGCTGCTTTCGCCCACTGACATGTCCACATAATCCTTCTAGCTTGTCTGCTCTGCTTCCTATGTAGTCCAGTACGCATGCGCAACAAAAAGAAAACGGTTGGGTAAAGTTGCCTTCATGTGCTCCTGGGGAAGTCGGGAATCCAGAAATCAAATTAGCCTTTAACAGATACATCCGGCAGACAATTCTCTAACACAGGATATTACAGAAATCTTGTGTCATCTTTTGGCTGTAAACCAAATATGGAATTAGCTTTACAGTCCATAAATATGCTACTTAACGTCAACATAAACAAATATAGCAATTTATTGGAGATTTATTGGAGACATGACTCGCTGGCCTGCTGTGAAACAACTTTCTTGGTTTTTCTCTATGCATGTCTGTTATCTCTTGTCAAAGGAACTTTTACACGGTTCATGAAACGTAATATAAAGCGCCAATATATTAACCCCATCTAACTGTAGGCTACAGTCAAGCTGCTGTGACCTTTAGTATATTTCAGTTTCATGGAATAAGTAAGAAAATCGCGGTGTATGCTCGCGTACAGGCTACGTTTTTAATGCCTTATTAAGACTATACGACTTTTCTTACGACTATAAGACTTTTCCAAAATCGTAACCCTAAAATAATTTGAGGAAGTGGGTAGACTTTTTAAATGACTCGATGTGGGTTACACTAACAATTAAAAAGGGACACTATGTCACAAAAACAACACTGGTTTTTTAGTTCATCCTCACACATTAAAATGTTGAAGACATCTCCCAAACAAGTACACTGATGCCTTCACTGTCCATTCTTTCATGCTATTGCTTGCCTCCCTGTGACATGTAGCAGTTATTTGTAAGGCCACTAGATGTCGACAGGGATACATAAATGAAGACTGCTGCAAAAATATGTTGAATCCCACGTAAAAGAGCTTTTATTTAGAAACATACTTTATTTACTGTTTTTTTTTCTTTGATGTAAAATATTGGTGTTCCTTATAGACCAATTTTAATTTCTTATCATTCTTAATATTTGTCCAGCATAGGAGTAATTCCTTGCCTACCTACATCCTGTCACTGACATTAAGGTTAGGATCACAAATGGGCCTTTTTCTGGTGGAGCCACCATGTGGAAAGATAATGATAAATTTTACTAAGCTCCATTTTTCAGCTTGGGCCCAAGGTGGATTAATGCAGGTTGAAGTACCTCTGCATTAACTTTGCCAGGCTTAATGCAGTAATTTTCCATTCCTTTATTTTACTTCCCCTGCTCTCTTCCTATCTCCCCTATAAATGAGTGGTCTTTCTCTTTTCTTTCTATTCTCTCAGTTCCCCTCAATCACACAGTGGTCTGCACAGCACCAGCTCTCCCTTAACCCTCAGCCCCTCTCCACCTATAACTCAGCCCCTCCACCACCACCCAGCTCTATAATAAGGGAGTAGCTGAAACACATGCAAATGAGCAGTCAGCCAGCTGGTATCACAGCAGTCATGTGATCTATCAAGGTAGGGGGTTAGGGGGTGAAGGAGACATGGAGGGAGGAGGGAGGGAGGGGAAGAGTGCAGGATAGAGGAGGAGGGAGGATGAAGGAGGGATCTTGGGGCTCGAGAGGGAGATGGACAGGTTCAAAGACATGCTAAAGAGACACACAGGCATCCCTCTGCCAGCTCTTTGCTACATGTTAAAATAATCCAATCAGTCCTCTCTTCCCTTGTCCATCAGCCTCCTCCATACTGTTTGTGACTCAGCCTTCTTCCCCCTTTATGTCTGTATCCCTCCATTCTTCAAGGACAAATACCTGAAATGTCACTCATGTGACACATGACACTTTACAGAGAAGCACATCAGCACACAGCACATCTCCCTCATTCTCTTTGTGTGCGTGTGTGTGTGTGTGTGTATGTGTGTGTGTGTGTGTGTCAAACCTATGTACTTCACCCACCACTGGGTGACAAGCCCCTGCAGCAGTCAAGGCACACTGTAGACACACTCACTGCATGAATGCGTGTGTGTGTGTGTGTGTGTGTGTGTGTGTGACAGAGAGAGAGAGAGAGAGAGATCCGTCTTTGCCTCACCGTGGCACCCATTCCAGCAGATTCTGCTGGCATAAGATCTGGTATACTCTGCCAACAGCAACCACCCTCATCCATTCCTGCTTCCTTCCTTCACTCCCCCCCTGGCTGCTTGATGAGGGAGAGAGGGAAAACCCTATAGCTCAACTCATTTTTTTGTGTGCATATGTGTTGTCGGTGATTAGAGTATTTTTTAGTGTGTGAGCAAATACATCAAGTGTAAGCTTGTGGGCTCCTGATTGCAAAGTCTACAAACTCCGACAAACAGACTCAGACAGCCAGCAGGGTTTGATGTTAGAATGTTTAAAATGCATTCATCAGTACTGACTTATAATTTTCTACATGCAAAATTAAGTTACATTATAAAAGTGAACAATCACATACATGTGGCATTACATGGTCATTACACATTTATAAATATTAAATTTTTTGGAAGTGTAAATGACAGTCAACTAAAGTTAATAAGTCTAACTGTCATTCATATTTATTTATTACGTTTGTCATTTTAATAATAAACAAGGCCCTGCGTGTCTTTTTAAGTCAGCATTTGTCCATTTCAGCTCAGTCTGGTTCCTGTGGAGGGGATGCACTCTGCCATGGTGGCACCAGTCACCTGTTACCTGTCAAGAGAGATTCACACGGAGAAAAGAGATTCAGAAATTGCAAATGTGAGCCTGTGTGTGTGTGTGTGTGTGTGTGTATGTGTGTGTGTGTGTGTGTGTGTATGTGTGTGTATGTGTGTGTGTATCAGTGTATGTGTATGTGTATGTGTATTCAAAGTGTGAAGGCAGTACCTCTTGGACCAAACATCTTCAGGTAGCAGTGAGAGCAGTATGGCTTCTCATCATACTGAAATACAATTAGTGGGACATATTTAAAGCATTATACATGTATTTGATTTTCCTCTTTATTCATTCAATCACTTTTTGTCTTTACTATTTCTCTCATGTATTTCTTCATTCTTTGTCCTCATTTACCTCAGCATGTTGTCCAGCTGTGAGCTGTCTGTTGCACTTCTGACACTTCAGACACAGAGGGTGGTAGTCCCTCCCTAAGGACCTCTTCTTCTCACCTGGACCAAGGAAAGATGAGGGCTGTGTTAATGAGAGGCAGGGCTGGATTTTTTATTTTTATTTTATTTATTTTTTATAGAACTTCCAAAAGGTCAAAGGAGTCTTGCATTTGCAAACATACACTCTGTATTTTATATCACATTATGTCTGTTTTTTTTTTGGATTTGAAAATCAGTTCAATTAAATAATATTTTGGATATTTTTTCATCTGATCCACAACGAACATGACTGTATGAGTGTGTCTGGTTCAGAACATACAGGTTGTTACTCTCCTTAGCACAAATAGGCCACAGTTTGTGGTGTTGGAGGAAAAGAGGTAAGTAGGCCAGGTCACATCAGAGCATTTGAACTTAGCTGGCACATAGCAGTAAAAGAACAGCAAAATAGACTTGAAATAGTTGGTTTAGGTGAATCGAATACTGAGTTCTGAGTGTGGGTGAGGATTTGACTAAAAGACACTGAAGGTAAGGAGGAAACCCAAAGAACAGCATGCATGCATGTTTGGCTAGACCCACATCCTGTTGTCATCATGGAACTGTGCATGTGCACAAGAGAAGCAGAAAAAGCCTGGGACAAAATGTCCTCTGTTTAAGCCTTTTTTTTTAGCACATATCAAAGCGGATAACACTGGCCTTTATTAAGATATTATAACATGTCATGCCTATTCAGAAAATGTATCATTATCATCACAGAACAGGTGTAACATCGCTAATGCTGTTGCAATGGCTTAGCTATATTTGCATAATACCATTGCACTCACATTGGTATTCCTCAATACTGCCATAGTTTGTGCTTGGCGGGTTAGAAAGTCCACTGAACAAGATGTCATTAACAATCGTTAATAGTATCTTCACCTGTTCCTTTCTTTTCCTAATTAAGATCATTTCTTATTTGTACTTTTTTTTTTTTATTTAAGTGACACAAGACAAATATAGACACTGAGTGAGGGCAAGTGAGAGAGAAATCAACGGCCGTACAGAGAGAAGATGCCAGGCAGACAGAGGAAGACAAACATCTAGAGTAAAAAAAATGAAAGAGGTCAGACTCACCAAAGTAGACGGGCTTCCCACAGATTGGACAGTAGCCTACCATGATAGCATGTAATTATTTATCATACAGTGTGTGTGTATGTGTGCACTTAAGCTGGCGTAGTGAGAAAATATATCCTACGAGAGCATACGTGTGCATATGTGTGAGAGCTGAAAATTGACAGGAAAACCGTTAAACTGCAGAGATGTCGATGTCTTGTGAAGTCAAAATCAGGATGTGGTGAGTGAGACGTCACAGGAAGAGAGAAAAATGTGATTTGAGCAGTAAATACTATCATCAGTGGGAAAAAAGGAGACAGGCAGCATCTCTAATCAAGTCCTCTAGATGTAAAGTCATATAAATAAGCATCATTTTACAGTCTGCTTTATATTTGGTTTCATCAAATGCTTTGTGGACCCAGCCTTGACACAGTTAAAAGAGGAAGAAAGAAGGGGAGAAAAAAGAAAGAGAAAGGGGTGAGGAGAGAAGGGACAAAACCCAGCTGTCAGCAGCTCAAATTCCCAGCTATCTCCTCTCCTTTCCTGCTCTTTTCACCCTCTTTTCTAGATTAAAAACAAGGAGTTGAGCCTCTGAATTGAAAAAGGAAACCTGACACTTGTGCCTTTCTTTCCTTCTGTCTGTCGTTCCTCTCTCTCTCTCTCTCTCTCTCTCTCTCTCTCTCTCTCTCTCTCTCTCTCTATTTCCCTGTCACATACTCACACACATGCACACCCCTGCGCTCACTGACTCACACAGACACATACCACACACCCAGTTACACGCACACACACACACACACACACACACACACACACACACACACACACACACACACACACACACACTCACCAAAAAGGCCGTACTTCTTCTCAATGACATCACATGAAGAGGCTGCAGCCAAAGAGCAGAGGGAGAGGCAGGGTGAGGCCGGGTTTGGTTGAGGGACAGTCAGGGGCGGGGGAGGTGTGTGTTTGTGTGTGTGTACATATGTGTGTACGTGTGTGTGTGTGTGTGTGTGTGTGTGTGTATGTGTGTGTGTGTGTGTGTGAGTGTGTGTGGGTGTGAGTGTGGAGGCGGTTTCCCTCGAGACGTGATGGAAGCAGACCTGGGGAGGGACAGGGGTGAGGAGAGATGAGCGAGACAAGGATGGAGACAGTAGCCAGCCTCAGCTAAGCGGGGACAAAGAAGATGAACTCTGATGAACTTCGTAGAGGAGAACAAGGCCACTGAAGTCACTGAAGACAGGCAAACGCCTGTGTGGTTCGATCCCTATCACTGTCAGTGGGACTTGTTTCTGCCTTATGAATGACTGAAACACATAAACAACTATGTGAACTAACAGTCAGGATAGTATAATGGTGGAAGAAGTACATTGCTCAGATCCTAAAATGACCAAAAATGAACTTAAAGTATCAAAAGTGTTTATTATGGGAAATGGTCCTTGTCAGTGTTACATTATATTATTGGATTATTATTACATATGCATTTCTGTACATGCCTAAATGCAGCATTTTATGTCATAGCTGGTAAGTTGTTTCGAAAATTTAAAGAGGAACACCATCAATATCAACATCAGTCTGTTTAGGGGTCAGGTAAAGCCTTTTGGCTCCAGAGAGATAGACAAAATATGATAAACTGCCTCAAGTGATGTCACTTGAGTCAGCATCGGCTGGGGCTGAACAATACAAGATACTGGGGGTGTGGAGTTTAGAAAGAAGTGAGCTCACTACACCTCTCTGCTTGAGGCTGGAGGCTCCGCAACATCAGCTGCTACTAGCATCACACACCTGAACCTCCAGCTTAACTGTCAGCTCTTGAGTTGCATTGTGGGTAATGTAGGGGGCAAGTTTTGACAAGGAAGAAGAATGTGTGGAATAAAGAAAGACAATATCTCTGGTTCCGCTGCATTGATTATAATCTTTATTTTTAACTATGCATAAAGAGTCTGACTTTGTTTTTGGAGGGCAATGCTAAATTATTGCAGTACTAATTGAAGTTGAATTTTATCTTTATTTTCATTTTATACAAGTTTATCATTTTTGATGTGGTAAAAATCTGAAACAGTTTTTGGATTCTGTGGAGATGGATTTCAACCTCTGAATTTAAGGAAGTCATTCATCGTCTTTGGTGATTGTGTGACAGATTTATAGAGCAAATGTAAGTGATGTGGTTAGTGATGCTGAAATTGAAAGTGTCTGAAATCAAATTATTTGGAGTAAATATGCTGGAAACCACTAAAATATGTCAAAGCAGTCTATCGCACACTAACCAAAATTAAGCACTTGTCAAATTTAGCTACATTATACAATTTGTGTTGTTCAAATACATCTGCGGAAGTATGGGAGAGGACAAAAGAACAAACACAAACTTGTCAATAATATAAACTACTGTATACTCAATATTTTTTTCGTCTTTCATTAGCCATACCACCTATCCTTTTTGGGTCGCAGAGGGGCGGGAGCCAATCCCAGTTGACCCTGGACAAGCCACCAGTGTATGACAGGGATAACATAGAGAAACAAACAATCATTCACACCTACAGGCAATGTAGAGTCACCAATCGACCTAACCTGCATGACTTTGGATTGTGGGAGGAAGCTGGCGTACCGGGAGGAAACCCACAGAGGCACAAGGAGATCTCCACGCAGAACCTTCTTGTTGTAAAATATAAACCTGTACAATTCAGAGACTTTTGAAACGGCACAATTCAGCACAAAAACAAATTTGTTCCTGTAAGTGTCCAAGAGTTTTTTAAGAAGAGAGAAAGTCAATATGATTTGAGAGCAGTCCTTATGTTTAGAGCCAAAGGGGGAAGACTAATATAAAACAATCATTGTGTTTCTGGGCAGCTTCATCCCTAACAATACATCACATTTGATAAACCTCTCATGAATATTAAAGGTTGATGCCCTCGAATTAACAAGTAGCTACAGCTGTCAGATAAAAAGGGGAGTAAGTGAATGAGTGAGTAGTCTATATTGAAACTACAATACTTAAGTAAAGGACATTAAAATAGTACTTCAGTACAGTATGGTACAGTACAGCTACTTTTCACCACCACAGGGAAAATATATGTACATATGTGTAAATATATATACACATATTCATATATACATCTATATTATACTGTCAGATGCAGGTTCCTGACAGCATTTGTGATGTTTTAAATGATATTTTCACAGACCTCACACATCACAAATACATCTGCATACCATTACTGTTGCTGATGAACTTCACAGGGCCACAAAATATATGAAGTATTTCATCATTTGCATATTTGCCAGCATCCCTCTCCTGTGTGTCATGCTTTGCAGAGGGATGGAATACCAAGTAGCTTTTTCATCTGACCAGCCTTCCCTACAGTATAACCTATCATGTCTCTCCATCAGCATTCATTGTGTGTGGACAGTGCAAGGAGAGTTACATCCTGAGTTGGAGGGCTATATGCATGCCCAGCTTACAATGTGTTTTGATGCAAATGATGATGTTGTGATTTTAATAGAGAGCAGAGAGTGAATATACACACAAGAAAAGCAAAAAGTAAAAGATTTGTGTTATCAGAGTGAGAAGGAATAGCTAGAAAGAGGGGGTTGGGGGGTTTCCACAGGTTGAATTTGAGGAAAATGAAACAGAATTGAAGGAAAAGGATAAAATTAAAAAAAGAAAGAGGGAGAAGAGCATGGCGAAAGAGAGGCAATGTAATTGTGAAATGGAGAGAGAAAGGAAACAAGAGAAAAGAAGAGAAGAGAGGGGGCGTTAAAACCACATTTCCCACTGGATCTTTTGGTAAGACTGCATTGAGAAAACTGCCAAAACTCTTAACACACACATTCCCGCACTAGCACGCACATATGCATGGTTCACTTCTGCCAAGTCATATGAGATACACCAACACACACTGGATGAAGAAATGTGGGAATATTATTGTGTGTGTGTGTGTGTGTGTGTGTGTGTGTGTGTGTGTGTGTGTATGTGTATGTGTGTGTGAACGGGATTTACAATAACATTCAGTGAGTGGTGGAAACAGTCAGAGTTCAGAGGAGAGAGAGAAACACTGGCTCCTCTCCTATGTGTCCTCTGGTGGGTTGGCTCTTGCTGAGGCCAAACCCTCCGACGCCGGCTTTGAGAACTGTGTGTGTGTGTGTGTGTGTGTGTGTGTGTATGTGGAGGGGTGTGGGGGGTGACAGGAAGAGGCTCAGGAAAGAAAACGGCTGGAAGGATTCCTTCTTCCCACACATACATGCACTCTTGATCACATGTGCGTACACATGAACGCACACTCGCACACACAAAGAGCCAAAAGGAGCCTTTGGAAGCTTTTTTCCCCCACTCACTCTCACACACCCACTCGTCATCACGTTTCAGTTCTTGGCATCCTCCTTTCTCCTCCAAGCCCAGAATATGACATGGCTTTGGGGTTGCATCTCAGCTGCATACACACAATCAGCCTCACAGTACAAGACATATGGCAAACAAAACCAAGCAGCATTTCAAACATTTGACACAATGAAGATAACCAAAGGACCACATGGTGATTTGCTTTGCGATACCTGTTTGAGGTACAGAGAAGACAATTTTTTTTTGTTTTCCTCTGATATTTTCATTTGAGCCATTTCTGGGGTGTGTTTTTCCACAAATATCCCCCTCTGTGACGGCCATTCTGGAGTCAGACGATCTAAAGGCTATAATCCTCTACTCAGGGTATCAGCGGATGGAAAAGTCAGGAAAATAAATCCTTGTTTTTCACTATTAATCTGGCAAAGCCTTTAAGTCCCCTCATACCTCTATGTAGTGATATGATTATGGCATGGTGACTATTACTACATGATTAGTAGCTGTGAGTGGCTGGGTCAGTCAGATTTCATTATGGGATATTCTGTTGTTTTCTATGGTGTGTGCTGAAGCAAATGGAGTGTGTGTGTGTGTATATGTGTGTGTGTGTGTGTGTGTGTCAGTAGCATAAAATAAACAGGTGTTGATGACGCTCTGGCTTTTAATTCTCTATAGGACTGATATTCAATGCCAGTCTTCCAAATGGCTAACACAGTTCTTGAAATAACACACACACACACACACACACACATACAGGCACGCACGCACGCACACACACAAGCAACAGGTACTAACATGCCAACATGCCATAAACACCAAGAACTGAAGTCCTAGCATGGTACGTTCGTTGTTGTGATGCCATCAGCTTCAAGAGCTGCTTAACAAAAGAGAGTAAACACAGCAAAGGCCAAGCTAAGATTTGCAAGGACGCTCGTGGCAAATCTTTTGATCCACCCTTTTGGTCCAGACTGAAAATTCTCAACAACTATCAGATGGATTGCCATGCAATTCAGTACAGACATTCATAGTCCCCAGAGGATAACCCGCACTGAATTAGGTGATCTTCTGACTTTTCCTCTAGTGTCACCAAAGCTTTTATTTGAAATGCCTTTACAGCTATTGGATGAACTACCATGAAGTAAATCTGGTGCCATCTGCAGGTCACAGTTTTGACTCATTCAGTAAAATATCTCAACACCTACCCTTTAGATTGGCACAAATTTTGACACAGACATTCATGACCCCCTCAGGGTGAATTACAATGAAATGACTTTGGAGATTTCCTGAATTTTCCCCTAGCTCCATCATCGGGTCAAGTTTCTAATGAGTAAAATGCCTGCAAAGCTAATGACATTTCCATCCGCCTCAGCTGTACTCTCTGTTTACTGCTAATCAGCAAATGTTAGCATGCTAACACACTAAACAGAGATGATGAGCATGGTCAACACTGTACCTGCTAAACCTCAGCATTTTAGCATTGTTACTGTGAGTATGTAAGCAAGCTGACGCATTTAGGTTAAAGTGATGCTGTGCCTACGTACAGCCTTGCAAAGCTGCTGGCATGGCTGTAGACTCTTAGTGTAGAGGACATTTCCATAGTGTGATCAATGATCTAAACATTTTTTACATTTTTAGTAACAGTGGTAATGCACTGTGGCCTTCTGGTGGGCCAGTCGTTACAAACTCACTCTGTGAAGCCAAACATGGTTCAAACCCAACATCTGCAATATTTCAATTGGATTTTGTTATGCAACCATGAAAATGTGTCTTTCTTGGGTTTAAAATATTTCACCCAGTGTAAACATCATATAGCTTCAATGAAGACTTGGAACAAGCTAGTACCTGCAGTTAGACTGTGTGGAATAAGACGATTTTAACAGCCTTAAAGCTACTTGAGGGCAAACAAAAAAAGGAAAACTGTATATTAAGGGGATGATGATTATACAGGGTTTCAAACTTCCAGAGTCGACCTCAGTCACTCAGCAGGGTTCTGAGTGAATAGTGCTCAGTTCTCAAGGCTGGTCCCACCTATTGTTTAGATCTGCTTAGGGAAACAGAGAGGCAGGCAGAAGGAAAGAACCTAATGTGTTGCTTCTTGCCTGTGCATTCTTGGCATAGCTCTTTGCCCTTTTCATTTTTTGACTGTGATTTTTTTTTCTCCCTTGCTTTAATAGTGAAGCCAAGGGTCCACAGCCAGCCAAGTCCCACCGCTCCAGTCTGGCTAAGCCACAGAAAGCTTGGCTTCCTCTACTCTGTGCTTTCTCTCTCTCATTCTCCATGTATGAATACAGTATGCGTCCCTCTCTCTTTCTCTTTGTATGTTTCTCTGTGTCGCTATGTCTCTCTTACTTGTCTCTTTCCTTTCCGTTCTAATTTTTGTGTCTGTCTGAATTGGTCAATCTGCCTCTTTGTGTCTATTTTTTTTGTCCTGTTCTCTTCTAACAAACACACACACACACACACACACACACACACACACACACACACACACACACACACACACACACACACACACACACACACAACCCTCTCTATTTCCCTGCTTGTCGTCTGTCACAGCCAGCGGACTGGTTTAGCAGGCGGGGTTCAGCTGGGCTCCACAAACACATGGCTCTCAATCTGCCTTCTTGTGTGTGCTGGAATGGTATTTCTTTTTCTATGCTGTCCATGCTCTCTATTTAATCTTCTTTAATTTTATGGACGTCCTTAAAGACAAGCATTTCTACATTTTTATGTATGGATTCAACAGACATATGGCCTACCATATGTCTGACTTTTTTTGCAGTGAACTTTGTGTCTCGATGAACAAATTTCAACCACTCGGATCTTTTGAAATGTCTTTATTGTCAAATATAACCTTCAAAAACATATTGCATAACCATTAGGTAACGCAGAAGGTATTAAAGCAATGACGTGTCATCTAAAATTCAGCTGCTCCTCAGAAGACACTCAGTCTTTCTCAACACAATGTGAGTTTGAATGTATCCAAAAGAGACAGTGTTGGCAATTTGCTCCTCTCTGTCTCTCAAGTGAAATTGAATTATAGATCAAGAACCTCTTGTGTGCACTAAAAACAGAATTCTCCAACTCAAGCAAAGCCCGCTCCCTCTTCTACTACGCCCATTTCTATCTGATCAGCACCATTCATTCCGCCACTTAGACAGGAATCTAATTAGACCAGAATATCAACATTAAAACACATATCTGCCCCCCTCCCTCCTCTCTCCCTCTCTCTCTCTCTTTGTTTCTGTGCTCTTCCCTACAGCTGGTGAGAGTATGGTTTGTGGCTGCCCCTCCCCCAGCGTTTGAACAAGCCAATAAGAGAGCATGTCAGCAAAATAACCCCCCCCCCACACACACACACACACACACCATCCCTCTTTTTCCCTTACCACCCCATCCATTCCCAACCCCATCCCCCAGAGCCCTCTCTACACCCCATCCCCCTTTCCTACCACCCCTAACCCACTTACTCATCCTGCCTCCACCCTCCCACACACCCACGAGACTTCCCCACCCTCTCCACTTTCTCACCCGTGCTCTCTCTCCCCACTCCTCTTCTTCCCCTTTCCTCTCACTCTGCTTCTCACTCACCCCTTTTCCTGGACACCCTTTCCTCTAACTTCCTTCCCTACACCCACACTCCATTTTCCTTATCCCCATCTCTACCGCTCCCCTTCCTTCCCCCACCTTTCTCTCTCCTCTCTCTTCTGTGGCCTTATCTTATGAATATCGGTAGCACACTGGGTGAAAAATTGATCCTCCCCGCCTGTCTGTGGACGCTGCCACAGCGCATTAGCCTGTGTGTGAGTGTGTGTGATGTGTGTGTGTATGTGGAGGCTTGCTGCTTGCGGGAGAGAGGAGAGGAGGAGTGAGGGAAGGAGGGTGGGAGGGATATTTGCATATCATCAAAGTAGGGAAAGGGAGTGTAATGAGGAGAGAATGTGTCTGTGTGTGTTGGGTGTGTGTGTGTATTAGGAGTGGTGTTGATGCGTTGGGGTTGAGTGTGTGTGAAATGAATGAACAAGACCAAGGGACTGGGATATAGGAGGTGAGATGGACTGTGATAGGTTTAGCAGTATGTGTGTGTGGTGTTTGTGTGAGTGTTTGTGTGTGTGTGCGTTTGTACGGGTATGTGTGAGAGAGAAAGACAAGACAGACAGACATAGACAGATAGACATAGATCACACATGTTTCCCCTAACATGCCATCCATCACAAAATCTCACACCCACTTGCATAGAATATCAACACTACACATTATTTACACCAGTTTCAGACATTTTTCATATACAGGTCATTTCATTGACCTTTGATACAACGGCCCTTAAATGTTTCCATAAAAAAGTGTTATGCTCTCTCTAGCTTCACTAATGGGGGGAAAATATAAGAACTTGCCATTTTCCAACATAGGCCTATTCTACAATTGTAAGAACATGAGGAGCTAAGCTGGTTTGCGTTGGGATGTAGACACATGCACAAACCTGTTCTGCCAGTGAGAAATGTCTCTCACAAAGACACTCCTCACTTCCTTTCCTGTTGATGGTATAAATTGCATTAGACGAATTTATTTCAGGTTAGGGATAAATAAACCAATTTTATTTTATGTTTGCCACTATTTTCTTTCTCTATCTGTATCTTGTTTTTCTAGCTACTGTGAGATCGTAGCCGATATAACGTTTGCAAACACAACGAATAATTATTTTTAAAGCGAACTTTCGGCTCCAGAGGAAACAGCTGCAATGGGTAGGCTTGGTATTTGTAAATAAATAATTTAAAGCCCCTTTTAGCCTGCCTCTCTGCTATCCACAGCTTCTGATTTAACAGGGCATACACATCGATTGCCGATCCTACACCGATTCATATTACCTGTAAAGTCGTGATTTTTGCGTAAAGTGAGTGAAAAACAGCCACATTTCACACTTTGAAATGTTGTTTCGTGTTTAATTTGTCTATGTGAATGAATGGAAAATGCGTATGGTAATAACAACTACAAACGCTTTCCGTTTTCTGGTATCGATTGGGCAGGCCTGGTGAAATCCGACTTGAGCGTTGACGGTCTGTCACATTTCACGCTGACACCAAGCGAACACTGGGCTCATACACACACATTCACATACACTCAAGCAGGGCTCACTGTATTATCGACAGATCCGCGTCAGGAGTACAGTCGAGGAGAGCACATTGGAGGTAAGTTGTTATCAAAAAACTACTCAGGGCAGGGGAATAAGACCGGGTTTCAGCGGTAGACTCGGAGGCGGACTCATTGCTTAAGATCGCGTTAATTTTAGCTGTGGTTCTTTCTTTGTAATTTTAGGTTGACCACTTTTTATCTCTCTGTGTGAGCTTTACTGTTTTCCCCTTTCCAGCCGGGAAAACATTACTGGGTCACCCTAACTCAATGAAATGACACCGAATAAGTTTTTACTCAAAGGCTTTTTGTTTTCTTACTATTAACCAAGCAATTTAAAGGGATTCGAGGCGTGGGTGGCTAGCTACGGGATTTTTCTCTGTGTTGGTCGGTGGAGGAGGAGGGGTTGGTATGGCTTGCCAAGCTAGCGAACGACATTACGCAGACTGCCTAAACAAGTTGAAATGGTTGTTAAAGTGGACAAAGTTGCCTTAAACTCAGTTCGGGGATACACGCGGTTATGAATAAGCGACTGTGTGTGATAACACGGTTGTTGTTTGGCTAGAATACGCGTAATAACGCGTTTACCACTGTATGCTATGCGCACCAACGTTAGCATACCCCCCCAACGTTAGCCTCCTGTGAGCTAGCGAGCCATGGCCGTAGTCGCTTCTCGGTTGTTATGGACCAAACGTCGCTTGTGAGCCACGAGATTCAATGTTACTGCGCCGTGAAAGTGGCTGAATAAAATGTTTATCTAAGTTACCGACCCCTGCCCATAGTTGTGTTTAGTTAAAACACGAGATATCGAAAGTTTCTTAAACATACAACGTTGTTTAGTTGTTGAACCAGCTTAGGCAAGCATGCTGTTTAGTAATGTTACTTTGTCAAACTTGAGGGAAGTAGCAAGGCTAAGTACCAAAGTTACTACACTCATGCTATTCAAAATAAACGCTGGCGGTTAACGTTAAGCGTTTGTGTAAACAGATCTATCTGGTGACTGTTTTGATATGCAGTCTTAATAGACAGTCCCCCACAGCTCGTGTTTAACTGTAAGCCACTCTCCAACGTTGTATTTTTAAACAGTGTCTAAAAGCTTCTTCTGTGAGAGGAAACGAGAGGAAAACGCAGAAAAAAAAGAAACAGAGGAAATCCCCCGAAAGGAAATGCCAATCGCAGCCGCTGGACAGCCAACGACCCAGGAGCCTAGAGTTTGCCCCCGGCTGCCCTCCACCCCGGAGCCTGTCCCTAAAGGGGCTGATTTATTCGACGAGGCGGGGGCGGCGGAGTCGGCGGAGCGAACAGAGTACGGGGGCGCGGAGGGGGGCAGAGGACTCGGGGGCTATAGTTACAGCCAGAGCGGCGCTAGGGGCTTTGTACAGCCCGGATCCACCAACGGCTCTCCGCCGCAGTCCCCAGCCGCGTCCTCATCTTTTCTCTTCCACCCCCTTCACCCCCACCAAATGGCCATGGAGCCCCCAAGGACTCGATCGCGCTCTCGGTCTGGATATTACCAGCAGTATGGTGGCGGGAATGGCACTGGAATTACTGGCAGCGGAGTCATGGGATCTAACCATCACCACCACCACCATCAGCAGCAGCAACTGCATCCACAGCAGCAGCACGGTGCCGGTTGCGCACCACTTGGAGCTCACAGCAACCACTCCGAGAACCAGCAGCGAGCCCCAGGAAGTAACGCCTCTCCCGGCATTCAGAGGCTTTCTTCGGTTCCCGGAGCGCACCGCATCCCGGCTGCAGGTAAATGTCCTCACTTGTCATTGTCACTGTGTATGTGGTTGTGTCCCCTGGACCAAGAGAGATAAAGGAATCGCACGTTTTATTTGACTTTTTCCTTCACATAAGCACCAAGTAGAAGTGACAGAAGTCGAGGAGTTTAATACCTTGGGGAGGTTTTTATGGGTAATTTGATAGAAGGAGGGGGCTGTCATGGGGGTGGCGTGACAAAAGTGTGCACCTGTGAACACATTTTGTTGTATTCTAATGAGACGGGGTGTTTTATGTGCTTGCCATGGAGCGGCAGAGTGAATGTGGTGCACAGTTAGCACATACATTAGGTAAATGAACAGCAGCAATCTGCGGTGTGGACTGGTGTAGCCTCAAACTTATTGATCTGCTGTGCTTAGTTAGTTACCCAGACTGTGTTTCTTAAGGCACGGTGGCATGTCTATTTTAAGTCAACTACACAAATATTGATGTAGCTAGGTAACAAGCTTCATAGTGTGTGTACAGGCTAATCTTTTTCTATGGCCTATTCTTTTTCAAAAACTCTCACAGGTAGTTGGGGTAATCTAGATAACACATGGCTTTGGCTTTGTGGACTGAAAGTGTTAAGTTGTGAACAAGAAGAAAACAGGCACTCCTCATATATTTCTATAGTAACACTCATGTTAACTTTAAATACAGTCCCGTGCAGCTCACTGGGATGGCACTAACTGTTTAAGATGCAGGTTTTTTCATATACATACATTCAAATCATAGTATTGTAAATCTTCACTTGCTGTAGTGCTTTACACAAGAGAATCAGCTAAATGACAAAATTGGATGTGTCATGTTACACAGAAAAGGTTGGCTGTGGCCTCTATAATAACAGATATCCAGTGTCCTTAGGGATGTATGGGCATATTCTGTTTCAGATAGAAGAGGTTCTCTGCAAGTAACTACCTGGGTAGGCCATGCTTTGATATTTGTGCTTCACTGCAAAGCAAAACTTAGTGAGAGTGTGCATGGGCTGGTGCTGGGTGTAGAATACATGTGAGGGCTGGTGCTGGGTGTAGAATACATGTGAGGGCACTCTCACACAGTGAACGCAGTGCAGTGAACCACATAACATAGAAACGGCACAGCTAGAGTTTCACATCCAGTGAGGCTATGGAAAAGCTTTTCTCTCAGCACACCTAACAGGCTTCTCAGGTTAGAAAAATGCTTGGTGGTTAGTTGTCTCCTGCAGTGCTTTCGGGAATATTATATAAGTGGTAATTTTGCAATGAAACAAACTGAAATGCTAAAACAAAGAATTTATTTATTTTACTTTTTGTACACATCAATCCATGTGTACAAATCTTTAAACTAAGTATAGATTTGAATTATTGACACCATGTAAGGGTTAAATGAAAGGAGGAATTCTTATTGTTGCTAATCCGAAACCTTCCAGTTTGTTCTGCCCAGAGCAGACTGACTACTCATACTGATTCTACATGTTGGAATTAGTTGTCATGCACTCAGGAGTCTAACAACCTAGTCATCCCTCTTATTGAGCAACTCATGTTTGACAGACAGGCTAACCCTGGAACACAAAGAATCAGTCCTAGGGTTAGCTTAGTCTCTACAGGTGTAGTAACGAAGCTAACTTTTTTCTTTTGGGTAACTGCATTGTTGAATGAATAATTTGTATATAAAAGAACAGGGCAATCTTCTCCCAGTCCAGATTCCTCTCATACAGCACCAAAAGTCTATTTCAGTTTTTATTCAAATAAAATAAAAAGAACAGACACCCTTTTAAAGGGTGACTGCGTGTATGTGTACATGAGAGACCAAGCAACTGTGTTCAGAGACCGGAACTACCTGTCTGGCAGAGTGAGAGAAAGAAAAAACAAAACAGCTGAACACATGTAAAACAAAGGCTTCTGGACTCCCATCAATGTGTGTGTTATATGTCTAGCTTAAGGCTTGCTGGGTTACAGGGAAATCAAGCTCAAACATACAAGGACACAATCCTTACATGTTTGTATTAGAAAGGCAGAAAAGGAAGAACTGAGTCAAAGGATTAAATAATTAATAAAAATACAGATCAGTTTCCAAAGTCTCCCTGCATCACCACAGAAGTTTAACTAGCCATCGTCAGAGTTTGGTGGTCTGCTGTGACCTGTGACCCATACTCTGTCATAGTAGCTTGGTTATGACATGTAGGATAGAACAAATCAATGGATAGAATGACTGTATTGTATTTCCATCCAAATGGATTTCGATCTAGAGGGGGAGGCATTGGCTAGAGATTCTGTAGACACTCACTCATTATCGGGACTAATTTTAATCAGACCTGAGATGCACAGCACCCGAAAGACCAGTAATTCATGAAGAATATTGATCTTAAAACACAGTATTTGTCTGTGTTAAGAAAATCTGACCATAGCAGAAATGGAAGAACATAAAAAAAGGTTGTGTTTGTTTAGTAGCTGTGAAGCTGCAAAGCAGTTGCTTTATTTAAGAATAAAAAATAATACAAGTGCTTTATTTTTGAGTAGTGTTTACATTGCTGACTTAGGCAAAGGAAACCTTAGGTCTAATTTATAGTTGAATGTTCTCTTACACAAGTGAAGCAGCTGGCTAGCTGGACATTTTCCAAGACTACACCTTTTATTAGACCCCCTTTCCACTCCAAGAATGGGTCCTGTTTGTTGATAGAGGGTGAGAGAGAGGGAGAGATACTTAGTCCATTCTTCCTATGCTAGTCACCTGCATCAGGCATGAAAGCTAATGATATCCCGTACTCTTCAATCCCTCCCCCTGTCTCCTCTCCTTGTAGTCCATTCTAACTCTTTTAGACCCTTTCCCCCCTTGTGCCTCAGTCTTTCATGCCAGTTTCATACTGTAGCACTGACACTTTTTTTCTTCTTCATCATTCTTTCTCATGCACTATTCACATGACTTTGCCCACCATGTTTGGAAATTAATGTGTTATGAGATAAAAAGACTCTTGAGAGATCATGTCTGAAATGTCCAGGCTGAAGGTGCAAGAGAATTGCAGAAAATGTAGAAGTACTTAAGCAAGAGCGCCCACTAAAATACTTTAAACTGGTGCCAAATTGGTCCAAGTGGATAAAAACATCCTCTGTAGCAGTTGATATCCTATCCTGATTCTGACCTACCTCTGTCACAGTCTGTCCTCTCATAGCCACATTCATTTCTCCCTCCTCTTTGAATCAGTCTACCCTTTCTGTACCTCTCCAGTCCATTTTCTCTGGCCTCCTCCCTCACATTTGTCTAATGGAGGGATCATTTTAATGGATTGCCCAAAGCAGCAGAGGGGCAGACGCTCTTGCCACTCTACCTTTACCCCTCCACTCCACTCCTATCCTCTCCATCCTTCTGTCTGCAATAGAAGTGGAAACATAAACATGCACTCTGTTTTTTTTTCCCTTCCTTTGTCTTGTCGCCCAGGCAACCCCCTCCGTTTTGAAGAGAAACTCTTTCACTTGGATTGACCAAGTAGCAGGGGTTCCCTGTTACTCTGTCACTCCAAGTAAACAACAAAGCAGTCACTTTGGTCAGCAAGGGGTGATCCTGGGGGGGTAGAGGAGAGTGACCCCAAATTAGCTCTAAATCCAAGGGATGGGCTCTGATCTAGCTTGAAAAAAAGGGGGGAGTTGGAGCAGGAATGGCAAAGGTTACTAAAAAATCCCGAATAAGGTAAATATAGAGAGAATAGAAGAATAAGGTCAGTGAGAGTACAAAAACCAAACTGGAAAAGAGGAGTAATAGAGAAGTTATTTTCAAAAGAAGTCATAGGTTGGATTGGGCAGTAATAGGAGTTGATGAAGGGAGGAGCGCAGTGCATGAGGTTTTGGAAAGTCATTCGCAGACAGAGGATGGGGATGGGATGGGAGAGATGATCAGAATGAAGTACAGGAGAAATGGCAAAAGGAGAGTGTGAATACGTTTCATGGAATAGGGCTGACTTTGGAGGAGACACAGGGTGTCTGGGTGTGTTTTGTCATAAGCAAAGCACAGAGAAGAAGAGTGTCTCATAGACAGCAGTTGAGTGTGTGACCTAAGAGGAGGCAAGGATATTGTGACTGGAAAGACACGGATGAAAACGATTGGCTAGGAGCAGATGGAGGCACGGGGGGGTGACTGTAGAGATGATTGAAGCCAAGACCGGAGGCAGTAAGTTGGTGAGTGGAGGTAAAGGTATGTGTGAGAAATGAATGAATGAATGTTGAGTGATTTAAGGAGAAGGAAGGGAGGGAGATGTTGTTTGTTCCTGCTGTTTGAATGTTTGCCTCTTGTCCCTTGATATAACTGGGAATGTCCACCGGATGTGGCTTGGTAGTGTCATGGGTGCAAATCCATGTTTCCAATGTCCACTGGACGCAGTTCAGATGGAGTGTGTCTTCAGGCAGCTGCACATGTGTTGTTTTTTAGCTGTCTCTCACTGACTGAACTGGGAACTTCATATTACCTTCATATTATCATATCAAAACCTATGTTGTTGGTATAGAAATATAGTAAAGAGGTACAGTAAAGACAAGTCAGTTCTCACCAGCTATGGATACCAAAACGTCTACCATTTCTTTTTCTCACTGTTGTATTTTAACCACCAGTTGCTTTTGTAGCAATTGTCTGTCCCAACAGTTTAGCATATTCAGTTTTTGCTTGTTATTTCAACACAACCCCTGTCTGTGTTGTTCCCTATTTCCTCCTCTTGTTGTCCTCTTTCTGCCTTGGTTGTAACTGCAAATCTGTGTAGATGCTTGTTGAGGTCGTAACTAAGTTTGTTTTGGGTGTTTTGTAGTCTTATGGTTGTATGAAAACGCCCTTTTTTTTTTCAAACTTCTTGCAGCATGATCCACTTCTCTTCTGTCTACACACATGCTGAGTGTGTTCCAGTCATCATTTCGCCATCATATGGCTAAATATGCTATGTCGGAAGATTCAGGGCCTCACTGTCATGGAAGGAAGCAACTCAAATATTCATTCCAAGCAGTTTAAGTTGTAAACAAGGAAGCATTCAGATTGGG